CTCCCCCCTCTCCCTCTCTCCACCCTTCACAGTTCCCCTCGCACTCCCACTCCACTCCCTCTCCCTCTCCCTCCCTCCCTCCCCCCCACTCTCCTCCCCTCTCCTCCTCTCCCTCTCCCTCTCCCTCTCTCCGTCCTTCACAATTCCCCTCTCACCCACAGATGGCATCAGCTGGTACAAAGCCATGTTCCTCACCATGAACGCCGCTCTTGGTGCCGGTCTCCTGAACTTCCCACGGGCGTTTCACGATGCGGGCGGCCTCCTCTCGGGAAACGTGCTTCATATTGTAAGTTTCGGTAATAATTAAGTGGTAACGTGATTCATATTGTAAGTTTTGGTAATACTTAAGTGGTAACGTGCTTCATATTGTAAGTGTTGGTAATACTTAAGTGGTAATGCGCTTCACTTTGTGTTTTGGTAATACTTAAGTGGTAACGTGCGCAAGTAACACTTAAGTGGTGGAAGTTTTGGTTCATAACTGTAAATATTGTAAGTTTTGGTAGTACTTAAGTGGTAACATATTGTAAGTTTTGGTAGGTGGTCTTCATATTGTAAGTGTTGGTAGTACTTAAGTGGTAATGTGCTTCATATTGTAAGTTTTGGTAGTACTTAAGTGGTAATGTGCTTCATATTGTAAGTTTTGGTAACACTTAAGTGGTAATGTCCTTCATATTGTAAGTTTTGGTAGTACTTAAGTGGTAACGTGCTTCATATTGTAAGTTTTGGTAATACTTAAGTGGTAACGTGCTTCATATTGTAAGTTTTGGTAATACTTAAGTAATGCTTCATATTGTAAGTTTTGGTAATACTTAAGTGGTAACGTGCTTCATATTGTAAGTTGGTAATACTTAAGTGGTGTATATTGTAGTACTTAAGTGGTAACGTGCTTCATATTGTAAGTTAGTACTTAAGTGGTAATACTACTTAAGTGGTAACGTGCTTCCTATTGTAAGTTTTGGTAGTACTTGTAACGTGCTTCATATTGTAAGTTTTATCAATACTTAAGTGGTAACTTGCTTCATATTGTAAGTTTGGTAACACTTAAGTGGTAACGGGCTTCATATTGTAAGTTTTGGTAATACTTAAGTGGTAACGTGCTTCATATTGTAAGTTTTGGCAATACTTAAGTGGTAACGTGCTTCATATTGTAAGTTTTGGTAATACTTAAGTGGTAACGTGCTTCATATTGTAAGTTTCGGTAATACTTAAGTGGTATAAGCTAAAGAACGTGTGAGGTTGAGACGAATATATTGTTAAGTAGTGCAAGTTACGTTCAATTTTGACTAGGGTTGATATTATAAGCCAATCTGTATGTAAACAAAAGGCAAGTGTTATGTAGAGCGTCCTGTGTATCCTAGATAACACAGGGTTGGGTTAAGTGCAAATAAGACCCCATTAGTATCAATAGTAATGTATAACAGGTAAATGGGCTAATTATTCCACCATACATGAAACGCTTGATGTAACCAATTGTGGATAGAAATTGAAATTCACGTCAAAAGTTCGTTAATATTGAATAAAAAACAGATCAGTGTATTTTTATAGATAATTTTTTTTACATATGAATTTTCTTTCGTCTTCATTTGTTTCTTTACGTATTTACCTATTCATTTCCTTGTGTATCTATCAAGTTATTTCGCTATATATTGTCTTATTTATATCTTGACTTATTTATCAGTGCGTTTCGTTGTGCATTTCATCAAGGCATTCCATTATGTATTATTCTATCTATACCTATGTATCTATAAATTCATCTATGCATCTATTTATTTCCCAATGCCTCAATCTATCTAATTGTCTATTTGATACCTTATTCATTCCACTTAATTATTCTTTATCCTCTCCTTCATCCTCGTTTTCAATTTTCACTTCTTTCTTCCAGATAGTAACAGTTTTAGCTCTGATTTCCCTCCTCGTCATTGCAAGCTGTGCAGTTGAGAGAAAGTGCAAAACTTATCAAGAGGTATGTATTTCTTATTTTTTATTATTTGATTATTTATTTATTTGTTTATTTTTAGAGATAGATAGATAGATAGATAGATAGAGAGAGAGAGAGAGAGAGAGAGAGAGAGAGAGAGAGAGAGAGAGAGAGAGAGAGAGAGAGAGAGAGAGAGAGTATTCTCAATTGTCGAATTAACTCCTTCGAATGAGGTAAATACTCATTGTCTCATAGATTTAAAAAAAATGTAATTTATCTGTTGTTTAAAATTTTGTTTTGAGGTATTTGAGTATAAAATGTTTTGTAGCGCTTAGAATAATTTGATAATAGGAAATTGTAGTGTTTGTAAAATCATATACTTTTATGTAAAAGGGATAATAAGTATGTAAAACCCTTGTTGTGTTTCAAGTATAATAGTTAAGTTTTAAGAAGCAACATATGTGAGGAATATAAATAGTTTGCAAATATCATTATCTAAAACATCACATTGATATTCAAGTAACTATAGCTTACTCAGTCTTATTATACAAATCCTATTGGTTATTAATCCATTCATTCAATAATAAATTCTCAACCAATTCATTCAACATCAAATCCTCAGTCAATTCATATTTATTGATTTCAGTGATTTTTATTTACCTCTTTTTGTTTACATCCAATCAGCTGATCTTATGCATGTGCGGTCGTCGCTGGAATGTTGTGGCATCGGTGTGCATCTTCGCCTATTGCATGGTCACTTGCATCACCCTTCTTATTATCATCGGTGACCAGTTTGACAGAGGTGAGTTCATTTTCACATTTTCTCTTTTACTAATTTCTCTATCAATAACTCGATTTCTTTATCTGTCTCTCTCCCTCTCCCTTTTATCATTTTAGGTATCATTTATCCCTCTCTCCTCTCCTCTTACTTTTTGTATCATTTAGGGTAGAAGTCTTCTCTCTGTCTCTTCGTATAACTATCTCTTAAAATATATCTTTTTCTCATAAATTTTTCTATATGAAGCAACTTCGCTCTCTGTCTGTCTGCCTTCCTCCCCTCCTCTCTCTTCTCATCTTCTCCTTCTCCTCTTCCTCCCTTCCTCCCTCCCTTTCTCCCTTCCTCCCTCCCTCCCTCCTCCTCCCTCCTCCCCCCCTCCCTCCCTCCCTCCTCCCTCCCTCCCCCCTCCCTCCCCTCCTCCCTCCTCCCCTCCCTCACTCCCTCCTCCTTCTCCCCAATACCACACACACACAATTTATCGCTACCGGCATTTTGACAATTTCTACCAATAACTTCTTTCCAAATGACTTTGCAATAACAGCTGTTTCCGGTGCCTGAGACAGTAGTTCCGCCCGGCCAGTCAAAGTGAGACACAGATTGTTTTCCATTACTGAAGTCTGTCGTTTCCTTTCATGGTCGAAGGATTTATTGTAATGTTGGCATGATACAGCTGTAATGTATTATTTACAGGTATCGGTGTGACATATTACTGTTTTTCTTTCTTCATATCATTATTGTTTCTGTGATTTTTATGATCATCGTTATTATCATTATTGTTATTATTATTATCTTTATCATTATTATTGTTATTGTTTGTATGATTATCATTACCATTATTACTATTATTGTTGTTGTTGTTATTATTATTATTATTATTGTTTTTGTTATTATATTTTTATATTTATTATTATTGTTGTTGTTGTTCTTGTTAGTTATTCATTATCATTGTCGTTATTATTATCATTATTATCAGTATTGTTATCATTATCATTATTAATATTATCGATATTATTACAACTATTATTGCCGTTATTATGATTACTACATTTATCGTTATTATTATCATTATTATGATCACAATATTCATAGTCAATATTGCTATTATTGTCATTTTTGTATAATTATCATTATCATCGTTATCATAATGATATCATTACAACCACCATACTCATCACCTTGCACTCATATTACAACCAACATTCACAACATACAATCCTACAATCTATAACACACCCCCTCTCCTTCTCCCCCCCCCCCCCCCAGCCTTCGCTTCCTTCGCCGGGGGTAATTTCTGTTCATCTTGGTTCATGAACAGAAAATTCACACTGACAGCATCGGCTCTTTTGCTCGTCTTCCCATGCTGTATGAGGAGGATGGATGCTTTGAGGTTCTTGAGGTAAGTGTGGTGAATGAGGGTGGTTAGTGTGGTGAGAGGTGGTTAGTGTGGGTGGTAAGTGAGGGTGGTGAGTGGTGATGAGGGTATTGCTGGTGGTGAGGGTGGGTGGTGAGTGAGGGTGGTGAGTGGTGAGTGAGGTGAGTGTGGGTTATGAATGAGGGTGGTGAGTAGTGGTGGTGAGTGTGGGTGATGAATGAGGGTGGTGAGTGTGGGAGATAAATCAGGGTGGTGAGGGTGATGAGTGGTGAGTAATGGTGAATGTGGGGATCGGTTGTGTGTGTGGTGATTTGGGATAAGTTAACGATTGATGATGAGTGGTGGGTGATGGTTGATAAACGTGGTGGCGGTAAGTGTAGTGGTGATGAAAGGTGATTGGTGATGGGTGTGATGATTGGTGTGGAATAGAGTGAATGTTAATATAATTATTACATTGAAATAAAAATGATAGTTATAATGCATATTGGCAATAACAAAACTTATTAACAATTATAATGACTAATGACAAAAATAACAAGATATAACGATAACAATGGCAATTTACATTTTTAAAACATTTATTAACATTTCTTCTTTCTCTCTTTCATACTATATATTCTTTTTTTTTTCTCTTACGGTGATTTACTTATTTTATCTTCTTTTTATCTACAGCTACGCCGGTGTTGTGACCATATTCTACGTAACAGCAGTAATAACATCTGAGTATTACACTGGCGGTTATGCTAAAGGACCCGTTGTAATTTACGATGCAGATTGGGTCCAGGTATGTTGTTTTTTGTCTCGTCTCTTTTATCTATTGATTTTTTTTTTGTGTAGCTAGATGTATAGTTTTAATGAAATAACTTTTTTTTTTTCTGTAGGTATATTTATAGTATTGATAGAATAAGGTATGTCTGTTTTTTGGTCATTCGTGTTGGTGGCTGCATAATGTTCATAAAATCAGGTATGTTTTTTGTGTATAGGTCTTCGTGTGTGATTTAGTAATTAAAATCTTAATTTCTATATAAAATCAGGTTATTTAATATTTTTCTTTATGTGAGTAGGTCACCGTACATGTTTTAATACTTAAAATCTTAATCAGGTATGTATATTTTGTGTTTTTGTGTATAGGTCGATGTTTACGTTTTGTACAAAATAATTTTGTGTGTGTATGATTCAATTGCTGCACGATATCTTAATGGTACTTTGTTTTACTGTTGTTTCACAATTACTGTTATTAATTAAAGAGAACAATAATGGTAATAACAGTAATAATGACCATTTTATCAGTTATAGAGAGCAACTATAGCAATAACTCTAATATGGACAATGATAAAAAACAATTAAAGTAATATTATTACAATTATGTTTGCTATCATACTGTATGTGTTGCTGCAATGATCACCATCAACATACCCATCATTTTCACCCTCATCATTCTTAAAATTAACATTCTTAACACCCCCACAATCTACTCCCATTGCAGATGTTTAACGTCCTCCCAGCCATCTGCTTCGGTTACCAGTGCCACATCAGTAGCGTGCCTATATATTCTTGTGTGAAGAAGAGCCAGGCTAAGGCAACATGGAAGGTATAGTACAATTTAGTTATAATATAGATGGAATGAATATCTATCCATCTATCAATTTATATATATATATGTGTGTGTGAATTTCATTTTGAATAAGGATGGAAGTACGTATAGGCAGGACCACCGACAGGGGGGGGGGGGTAGGCGGGGCCCGAAAATTTACAGTAGTCGCTTATTTGAGGCCAAGAACAACTAACTCCAGCAAATTTATAGGGTGTATTTATACTAGAACAACGTTATAGCAGTTAACTTTAACAAGTTTAAGGGAAAATGGGCGTTTTCTACCTAAAAAGTTTTTTTCACCTAAAAAGGGCTGGGTACTGTTCTTTGACCCGGGGCCCTGCGTGTAGGTATCGGTATGTGTAGATGTGTAGGTTTATAAGTATTAACTTCGAGGATAAGGATGAAAACAAATGTATAAGTATAAGGTGTATATGTATAGGTTTATAAGTATTTGATATGAAGCTTTATATGTATTAAGTACGGGGATAAGGCTAAAAAATGTACAGATATAAGTTTAGGTATAAATTATGTAAGTATAAGGGTGAGGATGAAGATGAAAATAAGTACAGACAGAAGTAGAAGTGTATGTATAGATAGTACAGGTATAAAGAGGTGTATGTATTGATAGAAGGATGAAAATATCTATAAGTATAGACATTTATATCCTTAATACAAGTAAAATGGTGAGGTTAAGTTTAAGATTTATTAATAGGGTTAATGATAGGTCTAAGAATAGTAAAGTTAGTGTAAGGTTTATAATCTATGACAGCCATATCATGCTATCAGAATGCCAAACTCATTATCATGCTGGCGATAACCTCACTTGGAATATATTGATTATTTCTGAAATTCGCAATTATCTTGTGGAATGAATCACAAATACATGTGAAAAGAATGAAAGGTAGAAATATCTTACGAATTACTGAATTTATAAAAATGTAGGAGTGACTTATTACTACTAAAATGAGTCATTAGTACTAATAATATCATTACCTTGAACGTAAGACCACCTGTACAAACAGTGTACGCGATATGTACATTATATTAGTATATTGCATCGCAATATTATTCAGCTTACATAATACAGTATAAGTAATATGTTATATGAAAGATATAAGTAATATGTTATATGGTAGGTATATAACATCAGTAATATTTTTTATGATATAATATAAGTAATATAATATGTAATCAATATAGTATATAAATATATATATAATTAATATATAAGTAATATGATATATAATTAATATAGTATAAGTAATATATGCTAACCATAATATAACTAGAGTATAAGTCGTAATTTATAAAAGAATTGAGAACACAGTGCAAATAACACGATATACGATGAACATAGTATATATAACACAACATACACCAATAACTCCCCGTCCGCACGATGCACTCAACACACAAACCTCCCCCTCCCAGGCCTGCACAGTAGCCATCGTCGTGTGTTTGTCCGTGTACACAGTCTCTGCCAACTACGGCTACCTCACCTTCGGGTCCCTCGTCAACACGGACGTCCTCCTGTCCTACGAAGCTCGACGTCCTCAGGTCCTCGTGGCTGTGGTTCTCCTGGCGGTCAAGTCGTGGACGACCTACCCGATCCTGCTCTTCTGTATGAGGTAAGGGGAGGGTGTTGGGTATAGGCCTATGTGAGTGGTTCTCTCTGTATGAGGTAATGGTCTCTCGGTATGAGGTAATGGTCTCTCTGTATGAGGTAATGGTCTCTCTGTATGAGGTAATGGTCTCTGTATGAGGTAATGGTCTCTCGGTATGGGGGATGGATCATATGCAGGAGGTTTAAGTGTGTATACTTAGGTAAGGATTTCTGTGTGAACTAGTGGTTTCTGAATGGGGTAATGACCTATTTAAGTGAGTTAGTGGTTTCTCTATGAGTGAGTAGTTTCTGTATGTGGTAGATGTTTCTGTATAAGGTATTTGTATTTGTATGAGGTAGTGATTTCTGCAGTGATTCACAAACTCTTCTCCCTTCTTTATGTGTGAAGTTTTGCTCAAGTCAAATGAAGTAGTTGTTTCTACATGAGGTCGTTAAAAGGCAGTGGTCTCTGTATGAGTTGGGATCTGTTTATATGAGATATTATTTCTGTATGAGGCATATTTTCCTCTGAGCCTTGTTTGTATGAAGTTTATCTAAGATAAAAAAGACTTATTGGTCTCTGTATGAGGCGATGGTCTCTTTATGAGGTAATATGAGATAATGGCAGCTGTATGATGTAATAGTCTTTGCATGAGTGATGGTCTCTGTATGAGGTAATGGTCTCTGAGTGATGGTCTCTAATGAATGATGGTCTCGATGGGTCTCTGTATGAGGGATGATGAGGTGATGTCTCTGTATGAGGTGATGGTCTCTGAATGAGGTGATTCTCTGTATGAGGTGCTGGTCTCTGTATGAGGTGATGTCTCCTGTATGAAGTGGTGATGGTCTCTGTATGAGGTGATGTCTCTGTATGAGGTGATTCTCTGTATGAGGTGATTCCTCTGTATGAGGTGATGGTCTCTGTATGGAAGGTGATGTCTCTGTATGAGGTGAATGTCTCTGTATGAAGTGATGTCTCTGTAATGAGTGATGGTCTCTTGTATGAGGTGATGAGGGTCTCTGTATGAGGTGATGGGTCTCTGTATGAGATGATATGAGGTGATGCTCTCTGTATGAGGTGATGTCTCTGTATGAGGTGATGTCTCTGTATGTGATGGTCTCTGGTATGAGGTGATGTCTCTGTATGAGGTGATGTCTCTGTATGAGGTGCTGGTCTCTGTATGAGGTGCTGGTCTCTGTATGAGGTGATGTCTCTGTATGAGGTGATGGTCTCTGTACTGAGGTGATGTCTCTGTATGAGGTGATGATGAGGTGATGGTCTCTGTATGAGGTGATGTCTCTGCATGAGGTGATGTCTCTGTATGAGGTGATGGTATGAGGTGATGGTCTCTGTATGAGGTGATGGTCTCTGTATGAGGTGATGGTCTCTGTATGATGGTGATGTCTCTGTATGAGGTGATGTCTCTGCTGATTGATGGTGCTGGTCTCTGTATGAGGTGCTGGTCTCTGTATGAGGTGATGGTCTCTGTATGATGTCTCATGAGGTGATGGTCTCTGCATGAGGTGATGTCTCTGTATTGAGGTGATGGTCTCTGTATTGGGTGATGGTCTCTGTATATGAAGGTTCTCCATGAGGTGATGGTCTCTGCATGATGAGGTGATGTCTCTGTATGAGGTGATGGTCTCTGTATGAGGTGATGGTCTCTGTATGAGGTGCTGGTATGGGTCTCTGTATTGAGGTGATGTCTCTGTATGAGGTGATGGTCTCTGTATGAGGTGATGTCTCTGTATGAGGTGATGGTCTCTGTATGTGATCTCTCTGCTCATGCTCGGTATGATGTCTCTGTATGAGGTGTCTCTGTAATGAGTCTGGTCTCTGTATGAGGTGATGGTCATGAGGGTGATGTCTCTGTATGAGATGAGTCCCTGTATGAGTGGTCTCCTGTAGGGTATGAGGTGATGGTCTTGTATGAGGTCGATGTAACTGGTCTCTGAGTGAGGGTCTCTGTAGATGGTCTCTGAGTGATGGTCTCTGTATGAGGTGATGGTCTCTTGGTGATGGTCTCTGTATGAGGTGATGTCTCTGTATGAGGTTGGTGATTTGATGTCTCTGTATGAGGTGATGGTCTCTGTATGATCTTGCGTCTCTGTATGGTGATGGTCTCCTGTATGAGGTGATGGGGTCTTCTGTATGAGGTGATGTCTCTGATGAGTGAGATGGTCTCTGTATGAGGCGATGGTCTCTGTATGAGGTAATGGGTCTCTGAGTGATGGTCTCTGTATGAGGTGATGGTCTCTGAGTGATGGTCTCTGTATGAGGTGATGGTCCTCTGTATGAGGGTGATGTCTCTGTATGCAGGTGATGGTCTCTGATGTTGGTCTCTGTTATGAGGTGACTGTCTGCTGTATGAGGTGATGGTCTCTGTATGAGGTGATGGTCTCTGTATGAGGTGATGGTCTCTGTATGAGGTGTTCTGTATGGGTCTCTGTATGAGGTGATGTCTCTGTAGTAGGGTGAATGGTCTCTGTATGGAGGTGGATGGTCTCTCTGCATGAGGTGATGTCTCTGTATGAATGGTGTGGTATGAGGTGATCTCTGTAGGTGATGGTGATGAGTCCTTGCTGTATGAGGTAGATGGTCTCTGTGTATGAGGTGCATGGTCTCTGCATGAGTGATTGGTCCTCTGCTATGAGGGTGATGTCTCTTATGAATAGTGATCGGTCTCTGTATGAGGTGCTGCTCTGTATGAAGGTGGCCGGCTCTCTGTATGAGGTGATGTCCTCAAATAGAATCAACAAACGCATTCACGAACTAATGTACATAGTCTTATTCTCTTCTTTATATCCATCAACTACTCAAATTCATCTGTATTAATGGTATACCACATAGAAACCAACATCCCTTCTTCTACGCGTATCCACCAGTCACGGTATACACGACACCGCTCATCCCTCTCGCAACTTCAATCTTTCATACCATATCACCAGGATTAACATCAGACTCTTCTCCAATCTGTATGAGGTGAATGTCTCGGTAATCGCATGGTCGATGGTCTCTGTATTGAATGGTGCTGTCTCTGTATGAGGATGATGTCTCTATGTATGAGGTAGCGTTCTGTATGAGTATGTCTCTGTATGAGGTCAAATGGTCTCTGTATGAGGTTGATTGGTCTCTGGTATGAGGTGATGGCTCTGCATGAGGGTGATGTCTCTGTATGAGGTATGGTCTCTGTATGAGGTGGCCGGTCTCTGTATGAGGTGCCGGTCTCTGTATGATGAGGTCTCTGTATGTGAGTCTCTGTTATGAGGTGATGGTCTCTGTATGAGGTGATTGGTCTCTCTGTGGTTCTCTGTATGACGGTGATGGTCTCTGTATGAGGTGATGGTCTCTGTATGAGGTGATGGTCCTCGTATGAGGTGATGGTCTCTGTGTATCTCGAAGGTGATGGTCTCTGTATGAGGTGATGTCTCTGTATGAGTGTGTCTCTGTATGAGTGCTGGGTCTTTTATGGTCTCTGCGTGATGGTGCTCTCGCCATGAGTGATGTCTCTGTATGAGGTGATGGTCTCTGTATGAGGTGATGGGATGAGGTGATGGCTCTGTATGAGGTGACTGGGTGGTCTCTGTATGAGAGGATGCATTGATCACCGCTCTGCATGAGGTGAATGGTCTCTGATGTCTCTGTATGAGGTGTGGTCCTCTGTACTGAGGTGCTCCGTCTCTGTATGAGGTGATGTCTCTGTATGATGGTGATGGTCTCTGTATGAGGTGATGATGTCGTCTCTGCATGAGGTGATGTCTCCTGTATGAGTCTTGATTGAGTGATCCTCTGTATGAGGTGATGGTCTCTGTTTATGAGGAGTGATGGTCTTCTGATGAGGTGATGTCTTGTATGAGGTGAGGGTTGCTTCTGATGAGGTAATGGTCTCTGGAGTGATGGTCTTCTGTATGATGGTGATGTCTCTGGAGGTCTCTGTGATGGTCTCTGTATGAGGTGATGGTCTCTGTACTCTGTGGATGTCTCTGTATGAGGTGATGGTCTCTGTATGGAGGTGATGGTCTCTGTATGATGTATGAGCTCTGTATGAGGTCTCTGTATGAGGTGTTGTCCTCTGTATAACTCTCTGCTCTGTATGAGGTGAGTCTCGTATGAGGTTAATGTCTCTGAGTGATGGTCTCTGTCGGTTGATGCGTCTCTGTATGGTGATGGTCTCTGCTCTCTATATAAGGTGATGGTCTCTGTATTGAGGTGATGGTCTGATGATGGTCTCTGTATAGGTGAATGTCTCTGTATGAGGTATGTCTCTGTATGAGGTAATGGTCTCTGAGTGATGGTCTCTGTATGAGGTGATGTGGAGGTGATGGTCTCTGTATGAGGTGATGTCTCGTCTCTGTATATGAGGTAATGTCTGGTGACGTATGAGGTGATTCACGTTTATGGTGATTGGTCTTCTGTATGAGTGATGTCACTGTTGAGGTGATGTCCTCTGTTTAATTGATGGTCTCTGTTATGAGGTGATGTCACTGTTTGAGGTGTTCCTCTGTATGATTGTCACTGTTTGACGGTGATGTCTCTGTATGATCCTTTATAACGCCTTGTGCTTATGATCCCTCTCTTACTCCTGTGATCGCATATAATGCCTTTTATTCCTTATGATCCTTTATTTTCCCTATAATCCACATGCCTTGTATTCCTTACGACCTTATTTCCCTTTTAACCCCATTTCATGCCTTTTATCCCTTATGATTCCTTTATTTTCGCTATAATCCCACATGACGTATTCCTTATGAACTTTCCCTTATAACACCATATAATGCCTTTTATTTCTTATCCCTTACGATTCCTTTATTTTCCCTACAATCCCACAACTTCGATTCCTTATGATCTTCTTTCCCTTATAACCCCACATAATACCTTGTGTGCTTATGATTCCTTTATTTCCCCTATAATAACCACAACTTCGATTCCTTATGACCTTCTTTCCCTTATAACCCCACATAATACCTTGTGTGCTTATGATTCCTTTATTTTCCCTATAATCCCACATGCCTTGTATTCCTTGTGACCTTCTTTCCCTTATAACCATATATAATGATTTTTATTCCTCATGATTCCTTTATTTCCCCTATAACCCCACAACTTCGATCCCTTATGACCCTCTTTCCCTTATAACCCCATATGATGCCTCTCATTCCTCATTCCTTTATTTTCCTTATAATCTCACATGACTTCGATTCCTTATGATCTTCTTTCCCTTATAACCCCATATAATGCCTTTTATCCCTTACGATTCCTTTATTTCCCCTATAATCCCACAACTTCGATTCCTTATGACCTTCTCTCCTTATGACCTGATTCCTTTCTTTTACCTATAATCCCACAACTTCGATTCCTTATGACCTTCTTTCCCTTATAACCCCATATAATACCTTGTGTGCTTATGATTCCTTTTTATCACCAGAGAGGCTGTGAATGACCTGTATCTCCGAGTACGGTCGATGCCGGAATCAGCTGCTGAGAAGACGGAACCAACGAGGCGAAAGGTAATGGTTGTTAATGCCATTTATGTTTCTGAGTTTTGGTGATTCTTAAAAAAAAAAGATATTAGCGATTAGGTTAAATCCATTGAGAGGAAAGTAATATGCTAGAAGTTATTTTTCTTATTATTATTAACAGTGATATTATCATTAATATTATCATTATCATCATTATCGTTGTTGTTACTGTAGTTATCATTTTTGTTATTCAATATTACTATTGTTATGATGATGATGAGTATTACTATCGTTATCAGCAATATCATTATCATCATCCTGATCATTATTATTATCATAATTATCACTATCATCTTGGTTGTTGATTTCACCATTCATATCAATATAATCATCATCATTATCCATAGCATCACAATTATAATTATTTTATAACATCATTTTCGTTTATCCTCCTCATTACAACCAACACCCTCGCCAAATACCCAACATCTCTCCATCAATTAATTTAAGGTGCTGTCACACTAGTACTTTTTTCGTCAATTTTCTGAAAGTTTTATTTAACATAAATACAAGCTTTCTCGAATATAGCTCTTGATTTGACTGTGCTTGGCTGAAAAAAGTTGACGGAAAGGTTTTCAGACGGAAACGATCATTATCATCTGACTGGAAAATCGACAACTCGCTCAAAAATGGACAAAATTTCAGAAAATTGTCAAAAAAGTGACGAAAAAAAGGTGCTAGTGTGACAGCACCTTTTTACTCCGCCCACTTACTCCAACCACCACCCTTCCATTCATTCATCCGCCCATTCATTCACCAACAGCTGATCGCCGTAGCGTTGTGGGCTCTCACTGTCCTCGTCGCCGTCTTTCTCCCCAACATCGGCATCGTCATGAAGATCCTGGGGAGTCTCGCTGCCTTGTTTATCTTCGTCTTTCCCGGTGAGTCTTTTTTGTTCATTTCTGTAGATTTGGATTGTTTTTGTTTGGATCTGAAGTGTTTTTGTTTAGGTTTGAATTGTTTTTTGTTTTTTTTGTTTTGTTTAGGTTTGAATTGTTTTTGTTTGAGTTTTGTTTGTTTTTTGTTTAGATTTTGAATTGTTTATTTGATTTATTTGAATTGTTTTTGTTTAGATTTTGAATCTGAATTGTTTTTGTTTAGGTTTGAATGTTTTTGTGGTTTGAATTGTTTATGATTTGATTTGAATTGTTTTGTTTAGATTTGGATTGTTTGATTTGAATTGTTTTGTTTAGGTTTGAATTGTTTTTTGTTTAGGTTGAATTGTTTGATTTGATTTGGTTTGTTTTTGGTGTTTTGTTTAGATTGAATTGTTTTGTTAGATTTGAATTGTTTTTGTTTAGGTTTGAATTGTTTTTTGAATTGTTTTGTTTTGTTTGATTTTGTTTTTTCTGAATTGTTTTTGTTAGATTTGAATTGTTTTTTGTTAGGTTTGAATTGTTTTTTGTTTAGGTTTGAATTGTTTATGATTTGATTTGAATTGTTTTTGTTTAGATTTGAATGAATTGTTTTTGTTTGATTTGAATTGTTTTTGTTTAGTTTGAATTGTTTTTGTTATTTGAATTGTTATGATTTGATTGAATTGTTTTGTTTAGATTTGATTTTTTTATCTGAATGTTTTTTGTTTAGATTTGAATTGTTTTTTTGTTTTGGTTTGAGGTTTTTGTTTATGATTTGATTTGAATTGTTTTTGTTTTAGATTTGATTTTTTTTATCTGAATTGTTTTTGTTTAGATTTTGAATTGTTTTTGTTTAGATTTGAATTGTTTTTGTTTAGGTTTGTTGTTTTTGTTTAGATTTGAATTGTTTTTTGTTTAGATTTGAATTTTTTTGTTTATTTGATTGTTTTTGAAATTGTGATTTGATTTGAATTGTTTTGTTTAGATTTGATTTGAATTGTTTTTGTTTAGATTTGAATTGAAATTGTTTTTTGTTTAGGTTTGAATTGTTTTTGTTTAGATTTGAATTGTTTTTGTTTTAGATTTGATTGAATTGTTTTTTGTTTAGATTTGAATTGTTTTGTTTAGTTTGAATTGTTTTGTTTAGGTTTTGAATTGTTTTTGATTTGATTGAATTGTTTTTGTTTAGATTTGATTTTTTTTATCTGAATTGTTTTTGTTTAGATTTGAATTGTTTTTGTTTAGATTTGAATTGTTTTGTTGTTTTTGAATTGTTTTATGATTTGATTTGAATTGTTTTTTTTAGATTTGATTTTTTTATCTGAATTGTTTGTTTAGATTTGAATAGATTTTTGTTTTTGAATTTTTAGATTTGAATTGTTTTTGTTTAGGTTTGAATTGTTTTTGTTTAGATTTGAATTGTTTTGTTGTTTGTTGTTTTTGTTTAGGTTTGAATTGTTTTTTGTTTAGGTTTGAATTGTTTTTGTTTAGATTTGAATTGTTTTTGTTTAGATTTGATTTTTTATTGAATTGTTTTTGTTTAGATTTGAATTGTTTTTGTTTAATTTGAATTGTTTTTTAGGTTTTGTGATTGTTTTTGTTGTTTTTGTTTAGATTGATTTTGAATTGTTTTGTTTAGATTTGAATTGTTTTTGTTTAGATTTGAGGTTTGATTTTTTTTGAATTGTTTTTGTTTAGATTTGAATTTTTTTTATTGAATTGTTTTTTGTTTAGATTTGAATTGTTTTTGTTTAGGTTTGAATTGTTTTTTTGATTGAATTGTTTTTGTTTAGATTGTTTTTTTATCTGAATGTTTTTGTTAGATTTGAGTGTTTTGTTTAGATTGAATTGTTTTTTTTTTTATCTGAATAGTTTTTATTTAGATTTGAATTGTTTTTGTTTAGGTTTGAATGAATTTTTTGTTTTTGTTTAGATTTTTTTTTTTTAAATTGTTTTTGTTTAGATTTGAATTGTTTTTGTTTAGATTTGAATTGTTTTTGTTTAGATTTGATTTTTTTATCTGAATTGTTTTTTTAGATTAGTTTTTTTAGATTTGAATTGGTTTTTTTTATTGAATAGTTTTTATTTAGATTTGTTGTTTTTGTTTAGGTTTGAATTGTTTTTGTTAGATTTTTTATTGTTTTGTTTAGATTTGAATTGTTTTTGTTAGATTTGAATTGTTTTGTTTAGATTTGAATTGTTTTTGTTTGGATCTGAATTGTTTTTTGTTTAGATTTGAATTGTTTTTTGTTTAGATTTGAAGTGTTTTTGTTTAGATTTGAATTGTTTTTTATCTGAATTGTTTTTATTTAGATTTGAATTGTTTTTGTTTAGGTTTGAATTGTTTATGATTTGATTTGAATTGCTTTTGTTTGGATCTGAATTGTTTTTGTTTAGATTTGAATTGTTTTTTTAGATTTAGAATATTGATTTAGATTTAGAACGTTGATTTATATTAGGATATTAACTTAGATTTATAGTACTATCATAGAATGTTTTGATTATTTAATGTGTATAGGCTCGTGTGTGTATATGTAAATAAAACATATAAAACAGACTGGTAAAGGGTAGACAGATAGATAATAAACGACTATTCATTAAAATAGTTGTAGTTATTTTTGTTGTCATTATTGTTATCTTTATCGATATCACTGTCATATGTTATGTAAATAAGAAGTGAAATGCTTATTAGTAATACATAAAGATAGGATAATTACGCATGTTTATTTATTTATATATATATATATATGCTAATCATTAATGCAGACTATGTATCTATGTATGTATCTACTTATCTATCTATCTACCTGTCTTTCTATCTCTGTCTCTATCTACCTGTCCATATATTTCCACCAAGTACATAGATAATTATCAATCCAAATATTTCTCAATTCGGATAAGAAATGTGATTCAATTCGACATATTCACACCAGTCCCATAGGTCTCTCTACCTCTCATACCAATCACACCAAACCACTTTCTCAAAACTATTTCAACTTTTTTTTTTTACAGGTATGTGTCTGTTACAAGTTGCCGACGAATTTCGTTCCAGTCGCAAAGTCACTTCGGACAAGTGGAAGAAGCGAGGTATAGTGTTGGCCGGGTCACTATACCTGGTTGTCGGCGCATTTGCATTCGGTCTCGCACTATCCATGGGCGTGGAGAGTTTGGTTAGCCCCGAAGTCCCTTTGTCGGCTTGTGGGGTATGGTGAGTGGGCGGGGGTATGGGGTGGATTGGAAGTGGGGGGTATAGTGATAGGGTGTGGGTATGGTGCAGTGAGAGGATGGGTTTATATTGCTGGGTGATGTATGTGTGTATGTTATTGTGTTTATGTGTGTCTGTTGGTTTATTGTGTGTGTGTGTGTGTGTGTGTGTGTGTGCGAGTCGAGAGAGAGAGAGAGAGAGATGTGTGTGAAGTAATATGTAAAGATATCCCAAGATTATAAAGTTGTATTTAGAAATAACAGTTGTATTGATAGAGAGCATACGCTATATGTGATTATTCATTTGTTGAATCCAATAAAAGTTTTCCGTTTAGGCTGCATTTTCTTTAACAAAATATGTATTTAATTGGTTTCATTCATAAAGGTGAAAGTATGAATACACACACACACACCACACACACACACACACACACACACACACACACACACACACACCACACACACACACACACACACAATATATATATATATATATATATATATATATATATATATATATATATATATATATATATATATATATATATATATTACACGTGTGTGTGTTGTGTGTGTGCGTGTGTGTGTATGGTGTAAGCCTTTGTCCTGGAACGGCAGGTCCCTCAGTACTCAGTGCATAAATAATGCCTTTGGTGA